GGGCAGCAGCAGTCTGACGGCGGTCTGCACCTCCCTGCTGGTGATGGTGGAGCGCTTGTTGTACTGAGCCAGACGAGACGCTTCGGTGGCGATTCGTTCGAACAGGTCGTTCACGAAGGAGTTCATTATACTCATGGCACGGCTAGAAATGCCTGTATCCGGATGAACCTACAGGCAAGTAAAACAAAACATGTTGAAGCAGTTTAAAACGGGGAAAAGACCAACTGTGATTGTCTTTACCTCGCCCACCTGTTTTAGAACTTTATAGATGTACATAGCGTAGGTCTCCTTTCTTTTAGTTTTTCTTTTCACCTTTTTCTCGCTTGAACTCTTGCCTTTCTTTTTTGAAATGTCGTTGGTCATTTTGTAAGCGAACGTTTGGATATTACAGAAACAATTAGGCTGAGTTTTACCAAAGCCGTTTTAATAGCGTGTCTTAATTAGTGACTGATTTCGTGCAGCTGGCTCCATTTCACGACCGACCAGATCCAACTAAACGGTAATGTAATAGTTTTCTCAAAGCCCTTGGAGCGAGGGAGGCGCTTTTTTGTAAGATTTCCCAGTTAATGTTTGCTTTTTAACATATACATTTTTAAACGTTGCTCATTTATTTTTTGACTCAAAGTAGACAGTGAGCACCGTTAGCCATTTTAAAAATCTAAATCTAAAATTTACTTGCAATCCAATTTCCGAAGGTGCGGTGCCATGTGGTGCAAGTGACACACCATAGAAGAAAACGTTAGGCAATAAAATGCTTTGCACAGAACAAAACAATCCCAACATAAAACATATAGTAGCCTACAGGGAATTTTGTGCACGCACAACTTTCCAGGCGGTAAAGGTTTGGTATTGCACGCACTATTGATGTCCACTTGGTGGCAGACTTGCTTTATTTTTTTAGACTTAATGGGAGACTACTGTGGAGTGCCTGGACTGCCACAATCCAATACATAAATAATGCATGTATTCTAAACATTCTAAATATTCCATTATATGGTGATTCTACAATTCAAGGTCAGGCCTGGACATGAAATCAGAGGTTTAAGACTGAAACTCACATGTGAGTCAAAAGCTAGAACCTATGACAACAAGTGTAATTGTTATTTATTATATTAAATGGTGGAAGAAGTGATATTGAAATGGAAAACATCAGCTTGCACAGAGAACTGGAAGTGCTTTGTTTTTTTTTTTCTTTTACAGAAACGCACCCTATAGAATAATTATATGCACACATGCAGTTGATTCAAAATTATTCATACCCCTGGCAGATTTAATGACTTTATCCTAATCTTTATCTCTTTTCAAATCTGAGCTGGGACTCGGCTCGGACTTAGATTAAATACGGTTCAGATTGGCTATTGAGGCTTTATTCAGTATACATATAATTATTTTCATCCAGTACATTCTATAAGAAAACTCCATCGGTTTTCATAATATTTGGTCCTTGTGTAGTATTGTATTATTCAGCTGTCAGCGTGGTCACTTTGCACTAATGAACAGCATTATCTGGTGTTCACTGTTAAGTTTATCTAACCATTCAGGAACTTCTTGCTCAGTTTTACTGTTGGAGTATCTCAGCTTGTAAGCAGCCATGATTGATTTGAGAGCTGCTGTTTGTATCCTAAAGTCCAAGACACACCGGATCCATTTTGGCATCTGATCCGATGAAAAATCGGATGTACCCAGGTAATTAAAAGAAGTAAAAAGTGAAAAAAAGAGAAAACATTATAAATGTGGAACACTAGATGGATTTAATCTACATAGATCGCTGCATAATTACAGTGGGTGAGATGTGGTCCTGTACCAGACATTTTTGGCATGCTTTCCTTGTTTGCTTCCCATATTTAGCACTGATGCTAAAGCATTTGATGTGTACACATCACACAAGGCAACACTTCTTTAAAAAGGGCAAAAAAATTTTATCATAGTTTCCTTTTCCTATTATAGTTAGCTTTTTTCAGTCCAATTGCATTTTCATGACGTGTCCTCTTGATGGCATAGTTGTGCCATGGAAACTGATGATGAGAACATCTCAAACATGTCATCCAGCTTGAATCTTTTTGCTAAGAATTCAATGGAATTTGCATATGTGCCTTTAAATGAGCAAGTTTTACGTATTCATGAAGTGCTACGCATTCTAGGCTATTTTTGTAGGTTTAGTTCAGCTAAGATGCAATAGTTCAAAATGTACAGTAAGAGTTTGAGCTATGGAAAATGTTTTACAAGGCTGAATGCCTACAGTCTTTAGAGGTGACACACCTTGTCTGCTACAGTTACTGTATGCCAAGAAATTTGCAAATGTCGAAATGTACACTCGACATAACCATGGGCTAAAATGTCATGAACTGGCTTTAATATGGATTATATGAAGTGGCTTAACGGCCAAAATGCAATTATTTGCACAACTTTGTTTCTTTCCAATTGTGGTTGGGCTTACTCGTGGATTATTAAGGAATGCAGGGGTTTTGCCATAGTGTGCAACAGTGAATGGATGAAGTTTAAAGATTCATGTTTCTGCAGAAAGGACATGTTTTACTTTTGAGGATGTAGCACTAAAGCATATTACATCATTATTTTGAGGACACTGAAACTTTGTAAGCCCATCCAGTTGCTTTTCTAACAATGTTTAATTGGGCCCAATTGGGTCACTTCACACTAATGCTACACATGTTGTGGGTGGAAGAGAAGTCAATCTACTGAAAAGTGGCTTTTAAAGTTTACTTGTTACTGTTTTAGAAAATTTGAAAAGGTTTATTTTAACTTAATATTTTTAAAGTTTTATGCTAGTTTTTTTCTGATTTTAAAATGTATATTTGCCCATGAAATCTTCTATATTTAAGTTACATTGCAAGCTTAGTTTTTGACAGATATCTTGTGTGGCAAAAGTAGACTATAGGCTCGATCTTATTTTGAAAAAAAGATTTTAGTGTAGCAAATGGTGTAGTTGCCAAATGTTTGATGTAATTTGAAGCTGGCATGGGCCAAAGCTTGAATTATAAGATTAAAATCTGTTAGTGACTAAAGACATTATTTATGATAGATGTTGTTTACTCTAGATCATGGCATGCAAAAATTACTTTGCTCAAAATGACATAAAGTGGGCCTCTCTTGGTGCTGCAGTAGCTGAAGATTAGCTGTATGAATGTATTCAAAGGTTACCTACTCACCACCAGATTAGTCATAGAGATGTATAGTTCATATTTATATTGCCAAGCTTTTAACTTGTACCTTTAGACACCTCAATAATTGTGTTTATGTTGTGGGAAAGAAAAGTATTTATCAGGTACCGCAAACATGATTTATTTTTTTTTTTTACTTTTTGCTCTCTCTCTCTCTTTTTTTTTTTTTTACTTCTAAGACTTCTTAAGATCTCCCCAGCTAATTTGAACATATGCTTGAGATAGTTTTCTAAGTAAAAATAACTTTACTATAGTAAGTGCACAGCTGGTAATGGAGATAAGCTTACCTTTGTGTTTCTGTGCCTCTTGCCTAATGAATGCAAAACAAATATCTACATTCAATAGGCAGATATCTTATTGTCTTATTGTGGAAACAGGACTGTTTCTTCCGTAGTGACATATTTACATCTCAAAGCTTGCTTTAATCTAAATCCTTTATTGCAATAAGATACATTAAATATATTTATGCTGTCTATTGAGTTGAATTGCATTTAGCCTTTGGCTTTTGCTGGCAATGATTGTTGATCTTTCATTTGTTCTGAAAGTTTAAAACGTAAAGTGAACCGTTTAGATGTTATTTGTGTATATAATGGCTTGTTTTCAATAAAGATCCAGTAGTAGTTGCAGTTTAACGATATCAGCATATGCTGACTTTGACCTGAGATTTTATTTTCTAAATCATGCAATGTTATTGCTTTATGATTTTTATCACACAGAATCTTGCACATACAGCTATAAATTGTAGACAAACCAGTAAATGTGGTATATTTTAATACAGCAGAGATTTATCCATGCTGTCTGATTTGTTAGTGTACTGCTAGCCCTAGCTCCTTTATCACTAGCTTTAAATCTGTTTGATTGATGAGATCTGAGGCTGTTACAAAGTGAGCTGAATTTCTGCCTTTTATCATGCACTCACATCTCTCTAAATAGCATTACACTGTCTCATGCTCATTCATTTTTGTCATACTAAAGCATGCCCTAGTTGTAATGACTTGAATACTCAGCTTTTACATATTGTTAGTCTTTTAAATGAATTCATATAAAAAAAACAGGAATTCAGAGTGTAATATTTATCCACTTGAGCTTCTATTTCTTTTCTTTTTTTCACATTTTTTGCTGAATTTAAATAAATATTTAAAGACTCATATTTATGACTAGTAAATATGACAAATTACATAATGCACAGCTCAATGGAAAAGTACATTTCAGTGTGTATTGTTGTTGGGTAATTTAGCTGTGCAGGATATACAATAATGGTAACAGACTTTTGACAGACCTTTTGACTGTATAAAAGTCTGTTTACTCATAGCTTCACTGCACAGTCATATTTAGCATATGGAAATGCAGCATTTTTGTTGGTTAGTTAACAAAAGTTAACTAACCAATTAAGTTTTTTTGAAAAGGTACATGTGCCCACTCCCCACAGACTCTCACATATGTATGTATGTGCTGGACGTTTGCACACAAAAGACCATTTATGGAAAAAAAAAATCCTACAATTTTGTCAATAATAACCTGGAAAAATAAAAAGTCAATTAACTATGAAAAAAAACAAAACATTTTAAAACTCTAAGGATAACCTCAAGGTACAAACAACGTGGACATTTGCAACTTATAGACAAGCGTGGCCAATATATTTTATTTTATTTTTGATGAGCAAACCTGGATGAGACATAAGTAAAAATGGTGGTGTGTGTTTTGTGAAGATTTTATCCACAAGCATGTTCTACTCAACAGATAAATTGTGAATATTTATGTTAGAAGCTATTTGTTTGAGGTCCGCACACATTTAATAAGCCTGTTATTTTCTCCTGTTTTCAGGCAGATTCATTCGTCTTTAGCAGTTGTTATCTGTGCTGGGAAGAAAGGGAATAAAAAGGTGAGTGTGTGTTCACATCTGTTACCTCGCTTCATCTGTCTGTCACATAAACAGAAAAATGTTGGCTGTCGTGCTTATGACAGGCTGCCACATCAATGTGTTACTTAAATCTGTCAAAGGTGTTTAATTTATTTCTATTCTCCGTTTTAGCATTCATAAAAATATTTTGTGACCAGTTGATTGCATCTATGCCATCGTGTCTATGCCTGATACTGATTTACTGTACACACATTAGCCTAAAACGCATAGCACAATAGTGGAAAATAACCAGAAAACAAACAGCAATAAAACACTCCTGCACTGAGCAGTTCATCACAATGCAATATGTTTTGTATAATACTGTTAGCTTGGAAAATTGTTGATATATTTCAAGTTATAAAGCTTTTATGCGTATTGTCGGCTTTAGAAACCCTGATTTTCTACTAATTAGATTTCATAAACTTGTGATAAATAACCGCAGTGACTGATTTTAGTAGAATAACCTCTGTTAACTTTCTGGGTTTTCCTGGCCTACAAAGCCATCAACAGCTGAAAGACCATTTTCTCTATTTACATGATCTATCTTTAAGTAAGTGCTATGTATCAAAAACTTTGATTACTGTGGTTTATGTCATTAGGAACATCAAAACCTTTAAGATGTTAATTGAGACTTTTTGGATATTTTTCTTGTTTAAAGTAAACCTCGTTTTTTTAAAAACTGACCTAACCTCCTGCTACAGATATGAACTCATTCCAGAGTCTCTATTATACTTCTCAAGACTATTTAAGAACAAAGACATATTGATTATGGAGTTTAAACTGACTTTAACATCTTTTACTAGTAGCTAGCATAGCTAGCAGTCTTCCCATTTTTTACTGAAGGATGTCGATCTTTACTTTAACTCTGAGATGTCTTTCTTTGCCTCCCAAAAGGTTTGAAGTCTGAGGCAGTTTTTCAGACAGCCCTTTATATGTAAGATAAATACTAAACAAATTTCAATAACTGCTTTATTGGGGGTTGTCTCTTCAGGTACATCAATATCAACGTACCAGGCCAATGAAGTAGTAGTATTCGTTACATTACTTGCAATATTTTTAATATTATTCACCTGGAAGAAAGCTGCCCCTCCATCTCATAAGCAGAGGATAGAAGATGCTATGTCCCGTTTGAAACATTCTGTCAACAGCTCTGTTCAGGAGTACAATATGACTGGGCAGCATTGTTCTTTGAGACTGTGTTCTCTTTAGAACAATGTTCCTAAATCCTGTTCCTGAGAGAACACTGTCCTACATGTTTCAGGTGTTTCCCATCTTCCACACACCTGGCCCCAATAATGGGTGATTAACAGGTTTCTACAGCTCTTGATGACATGCAGGACTTAATGCTATAATTTGAATCAGGTGTGCTGGAGCAGAGACGCTTCCAAAATATGCAGGACAGTGGTTCCTGGGAAACAGCATTGAGAAACACTGCTGTGGAGTGATACCTACCCTCCCACCCTCTTCCTCCTTTTTTGATTGAATCTTATACAGTATCTGTTAGCACCTCTTTGTACTGTGCTGTTCTTAAACATTTAAGAACAATAACAAAATTAGCTATGATTAAATTTTTAGTAAAATAACACATTTTCCCTAATTTGGTAAATCTCCTTGTCCTACGCTTTGCTTCGTAGAGAGTGCCCAGACCCTCTGGTAATGAAAAACAATTGTTTGCTAGAAGTGTGGAAGTTTTACATTTTACCCAATCGCTAACATTTGCCCGTGACGTATGTCATGTGTCAGTTCAACACTACAAAGGTCACTGGAATTGCCTGCACTGTAAACAACCATCCCACTGCGAAGAGAGAAGTACCAAGCCGAATAAGATGGGTGTTAATGTTAATTAATTATTTGGAAGAATGGCAAACACGGCCTGAATGGCTTTGCTCATTTCTTGGCCTCCACAGTCAAATTACAAACTACAATTTAAAACAGTGCAGAAAATCGATGTCATCGTTCAGAACTTCTCCTTCGGCTCCCTGATTGTCAAGTAAAGTAAAACCATTATATATTTTTTTATTTTTTTAGGTTTTTCTTTCTGATGGTTCCTTGAAATTCTGTTTTGTCACATATTTTCCATTTTTGAATCCTAGGGTTCTTTTAAATGGATGGACAAATCTAAACACCAACTTCATTTTTTTTTGGTCTTTGACTCCCATTTTCAGAATTGCATATTACTGATGTGTTTATGCAAGGTGCTGAGCACAGAAGCAATATAAAGTGATTAATTCAAGAGAGTAAAAGTGATAAATCATCACAGTTTCATTAGTTCTTTCTGTTTAAAGTTGTGTTATAGTGCTGCACTAAGTATGGCAGTGTTTCATCTCTGCCACTCATTTTATCTTTAGGGTTTATAAGATCTTAAATGTCATCTCCTTTAATGCTGTATGAATATGTTGCAATCATAAAATTGCCAGACTTGCTTGCCAATTCTACATAACTTGGCCATTTCATTGATTGACTACTTGCTCTTTCTAGATCTGGATCATCACAGTTGTCCTGTCATTGGGTCTTCTGACTGTCCTTCAGCAACTTTACTTAATACCCAACACCATTTACAGCCTGTTGATTGCAGTGCCTATAATCCTAAGCAATTTCATGTCAACATTTCAAATTGAGCTAAATGTTTCATAAGAGCTCAATGTTTTGTCAGATGTTTTCCATCCAGACATTAAAATTTGTCATGGTAAAAAGGTATTTTTGAAATGCGTTTGAATTTATGTGTCAAGGCAAGTCTTGATTAATGTCAGGTTCTAATTTGTAATCTCAACTATGAAAGAAATACGCAACAGATTCTAAACAATTTCTTTCCTAAAAACAAAAGAAAGCATTCCAGTAAACGTAGAACGAGAAAAAGCATTCGATTGATTTTTGGAAGTGTGACATCTTCTATGAAAACAATAAGTTTGACTGTTTATTAGAGAATATAGATGTTTGTTACAACACTGGCAATGAGAAAACAGATTAGTAAAAGCCTTGTTTCCTCCCATCAGTCTAGTAAAGGGTTATGTAACCATTTCCAATTAAACTGAAGTCTATCATTCTACACTAGAATGGTAATAGAGGGATAAGAGGTTGGTAAGTCATTTAGAAAACATCTACTTTAGGTAATTGCAAATAAAATGAGGTACAGATGCCAATCTGGCAATTGTAATGCTCAAACAAACTGGAAACACCCCAAAGTCATTCATCCTTACCAAGAACAAGCTTAAAATTCAGCCTGCCAGATTAAAATGAATTAATTCATTCATTATTTATTCTTATTCATAGTTCATTCTGAACTAATTTCTCAGCTCCAACACGAACTAATTCTTGTTGATTTATTGTATTTTGCCTGAAATAACGTAAAAATATTACGTTAATAACGTAAAAATATTACATGCAGGTCACAATGTTCTTCATGAATTAGCAGATCCATCCATTTCATCACTTAGCATTTCTCAGCAAGCTTAGCTCTGTTGTATTATTTCCTTTTCTCTTTGCTCACAACAGCTGTATTTTGTGATGACTGAATTCCCAAAGCAGCTGCTCTCATTCACTTATTTCAATGCTTTCATTGTCAGAAAACAAAACAAAA